GAGGTTTAGGGTTCAGGGTTTGGCGGTTTAGGGTTTTGGCGGATTTGGGGTTTGGGGTTTCGGGGTTCAGAGTTTTTTTGGGTGGAGGGGTTTAGATTGGGTGTTTGGGTGTTTGGGTTTAGGGGTTGAGGGATTTAGATTGAATCATAGGCATGTCTATCAGCCTCCCCTGGTGGGTCCCGCCTGGTGCTGCTTCACTCGGGTGATTCAAACGCTCTCGAAGAGGGCTATAAAGGCCAACTAGGAAGTGTTAGGGGCTATTAGGCTTTAATAGCTTTCGAATGCTGTCGACCCGGCATGTATCTTAAACCGGCTTGTTTCCTCCATAAACCGGCCTCGAACGATCACTGTCCAGCCACCAAAATTCTTCTTAAAGTCTCGGCATGGATCTCTGGGCATGACATGTGCAAAGAAAGCATAGGCTGGAAAGAGCAATTGAGCAAATTTCAGGGCATTTGAGTGGCATTCGAGAGCATTTCAGCGGCATTCGAAAGCATTTCAGTGGGCTTCGAGGGTATTTGAGAGGCATGTTTCCTGCACGCAAAACCCTGCTTGCATCCCGAGAGCATCTGCGAGTAGTCGCGATCCATAAAAAGCATGTTCAAATACATAGTCGTTGAGCATTTAGACCCTCGAGGGGCCAAGTAGGGGTGGCTGAGGGAGATGCCTATGCGGGGTTTTGGTGGCTTCCGGGTTTGGGCTCGGGGCTCAGAGGTTAAGACTTTCAACGCCGAACCAGGACCAATCTGGGCTCCGGACTCGGAGGTCGGTCATTGGACTACTTTTATGCATGGCGATGATGCAATCAGAATCCGCAAACAGGGCCGGGTAGCCCCACCAGCACTATAGAGACTGCAAGAAGAGTAAGTATTTCCCAATTTCCATGCTGGCAGTAAGACAAGCGCAGCAACATTCGATTGTGGGGGCCCAGGCTTCTCAGCTGGGGTCCCATGGGTCAACGAGTTGATGATACATGGCTGCGCAGTTTCATCAGGAGTGTTGCAACGAATCATTTGACGACAGCCTTCTCGATTGTTTGAGCTTCGGCACAATAGTGTTGCCGTGTCATAGGACGACCAGCCATTCAAACTGCAGACCATGTTCATCGCCACCATTTCATGCTGCACCAATTCCTGAAATCCCGCTGTTGTCAACGTTTAAGGAAGTCGGGCCGGATATTTTGCCAACTCATGCGTGAACCCATGCGCGAAAGAGAGGGTTGAGGGTTTTCCTGCCAGAACACGAGGTTATGGTCGCAAATGTGGCCCACATCACTACAAACTGCATCCATGCTACGTTTAGCTGTGCCAAGCCACGTGTTGAGAGAATTAGCGAGTAGGGTATTCATGGACAGAAGCAAAACGAGAGACCGAGTAAGGCAGGCAGATATGAAACCAGCCAGACAGATTTTCGCCCTAACCTGTGGCGGAACCTACTCCGAGGCATCTGATTGGCGATTGTTCTGAGCGTGGGTGTTAGCCAGACCTCCAAGTCCAAGTTTCTTGATGCTTTTTGGAGTCAGCTAAGACATCCCGAAGTCTCAACTTTGTCCCATTCACTTATTCTGAGTGTACGAAAATTGGAAGGGCTAAACGACGCTAGTTAAACCCAATGCCCCAAACCACGGCTGTTTCAACTCGTCGGGCTTGAGATTTGTAGGCTTCACTGTGATCGCGTGCTTGGAATGGCGCGTTGAATCTTCGAGCTTGCTGGAGCTGGCAAAATTCCGGGTTGACTACAACAGGTCTACAGCGGCCAAATTCCGGGTCTTCGTTTGTGACTGTGAGTTGGTACTGTAGTGGTAGTGGTAGTGGTAGTAGTAGCAGTAGTAGTAGTAGTAGTAGTAGTAGTAGTAGTAGTAGTAGTAGTCGTAGTAGCAATAGTAGTAATAATAGTAGTAGTAGTAGTAGCAGTAGTAGTAGTGGTACTAGTAGCAGTAGTAGTAGTAGTAGTAGTGGTAGTAGTAGTAGTAGTACGAGTGCTAGTGCTAGTGCTAACCTGTACCACTACTAGTACTAGCACTAAGACTAGAACGTGCACTAGTACTGCTACTAGTAGTCGTCATCGTAGTAGTAGTAGTAGTAGCAGTAGTAGCAGTAGCAGCAGCAGCAGCAGCAGCTGCTGCAGTAGCAATAGCAGCAGTAGTACTGGCGATAGTGGTAGTGCCAGTGGTAGTGGTGGTTTAGCAGCAGCAGTAGTAGCAGTTGGAGCAGGAGGAGCAGCAGCAGCAGCAGCAGCAGCAGCAGCAGGAGGAGGAGGAGGAGGAGGAGTAGTAGTAGTAGTAGTAGTAGTAGTCGTAGTAGTGGAAGTAGTGGTAGTAGTCGTCGTCGTTTGAACATCAATGGTACTAATACTACTACTATACTAGTACTACACTAGCTAACATTACTAGGAGCAAAGGCCAGCGCGGGAGCAAGAGCCAGCGCAGGAGCAAGAGCACGACCCCTCGAAAGTGGCAGTCAGTTGTTATTGGGGGGGGGCCCTGTTTAAGACTGGGGGGAACAAGATTATTCCTGACGGTCATAACGATGATAATATTGATCTTGATCATAATCTGTTTATTCATGACAACGGATATAATAACAACAATGATAATGATAGTAATGATACTGGGGGACAGCTCTGGTAATAATGAAAACATAATGTTCAGAGTGATCATCATGATGGCAATGATGATACTTATGGTAGCGATGATGAAGGCAAGAGTGAAAATGGAATGAGAAGACTGGGACAGTGGTGGAAAGGCCAGGGTATTCGTGTAGGAAGCGCTTGTATAAACTACCTGCAGTTGCAGTTTTTTGGTAGTGGCAGCCCGAAGAGCCAAGAAGACCTTAAATTATAGGGACCTTAATCTTATGATCCTTAATTAAGGGGCATTGGGTTCTCTGAGCAGGAGCCAAGAAGCTGCACAATACTGAATGTTAGCCATCCGCAGCCGCATGATGCGGCTGCCCGCCAGAGGCCGCTGTCGAAGCTCTCGTCGAGATACTTCACGCATCGGAGCAAATAGGGATATGCCGCCTAGGGTCTGAACCCCAGAAAGGAACTCTCATAGTACGCTATTGTATCTGATAGTGAACTATAGTACACTATAGTAGATTCTAGTGAGTTTTAAAATATGATGGTATGGACAGCGTTGACGGTTGGGGTGTAGGCCTTTTAGACTGCAAGGGCAGAACTCGATTTACATGCTCGTCAGGGCAATATGGACACGCATACGGTGGTTGCGCACGTGCAGCAAAAAACAACCTTGTCAGAGGCCCAGAAGCAGGGGAAACCACCACGAAGAAGAGCAACTCAGTGAATCCCACAGCTACATACTCGAATTCAGATCGATAGCCAAAGGCATGCCAGGTATGCTTTCCGGCCCAAAGAATAGGAGGATAGGACAAGGTGTAGGGGAAGCCGGCCAGCATGCAAACCTCAGTTTTCCGAAATGCATGATGCAGGGCTTGGGCAATTGTGCTTTAGGAAAGACACCGTAAGCGCAAAGAGATCTTTCGGAATAACTTGCAAGACACGGTATATGGTATGTCAGTCACGTCCCCGAGATCCGCGACAACTGCATCACGCAGTGGGCCCCGCACATACTTGTTGAACTCTTCCAGGCAACCCTGGGCTCTTGTTAAGGGGTTTGAGATAAGTTGCTATAGTAAGGAAGCCCCCATTATTTACAATAGGTCCCTATGATGGTAATGTAAATTAGAATCCTTAACTTAAGTAAACATAGTGAAGTAACCATGTTATTTACTATAGATCTCTGTTTTGGTAATTAAACTCCTCAACATAGGGAACCCAAAAAGGACATAAGCATAAGCATCTTAAAGGGATATCCCGACCTTATTGGGCTTCATTATAAGGGGATTTATATGGGATATCCCTATCCTAATTTTTTGCTTATGTGCTTTTTTGGGGCCCGATTAACAAGAGAGCCCAGAGTCTTCATGGGTAGCAAAGCCGGTCACGGAGCGCACGGCCAGCCGAGCTGAGTAGGTCAAGGACATGTCGATGAGCTCCTCGCAGTCAGGTTTAGAGTTTAGGGTTTAGGGGCTTAGGGTTTAGGGTTTAGGGTTTAGTTTAGGGTTCAGGGCTTAGGGAAAGGGCAGTCAAGGTACGGTAGGGGCCTTAATACTTAGAATAAAGTCTTGGGGGTTCCTTTAAAGGGTTCCTTAGAGGGGTTCTTTAAGGGCTACTATGAGGGTGGGTTTAGGGGCTTTATAATAATTAGAATAGGGTTTGGGAAGCCTTTAGGTGATAAGACTATTTTACAAGAGCATCACCATGATACTGATGATGCTGGCAACTGCGGATACGAGTCATGCCAACAGAAACTGTAGAAAGTGATAGCGGTGGTAATCATACGCAAAGATGAGCAGAACTATTCCCTGCAGAGAACAAAATAGCTGAGGTAAGGAACCCTAAACCCTAAACCCTAAACCGCTTGTGCGTGAGGCTTGAGAGCTCAACTTAGACACGAGACCCTAGACCCTAAACCCTAAACCCTGAACCCTAGACCCTGAACCCTAGACCCTAAACCCTAAACTACTACACGTTTCAACCCCGCGCACACCCCCAAATCAAGAATGGAAGAGCTCTGGGATCCTGTTCCATGCCTCGAAACGGCTTCCGGTAATATTTCCAATATAGGGGCCTCAATAATTAGAACAAGG